CTAAAATTTGTATGTCTAATGGAAAACCTATGATGTTTATATTCAAAATGATCATCAAATTGTAAGAATTCCAGCAATGTAAATAAATTATATTCTGGCCGGGTAATTTGTATGAATTTTATGAGCTAAAACAAATATCTTCAGTTAATAAAAAAAAATATTCTTCACGACACTATCTGTCAATCAAAATACCCCACCTTGCCTCCCCCCCTCTTCCCACCACGCCAGCTGGGTCGGTCGGTCCCTCCCTCCCCCCCACCCCCCACCTTCCCTCCCTACCAGAGAAATGTTTGGGAGAAACCAGAATATTTACCTTTTAGTAATAAATAATACCTCAGACTAAAGTTAGGATAATATAGTTCACATTGCTGGATTCCTTGCAAGACCAGGAATATTTTGAATATACACGTCATATATTTTGCACAAAAGATAACATATTTGCTCAGAGTAAACAAAATACTTACAGTAGATCTAAAATTTGTATGTCTAATGCAAAATCTATGATGTTTATATTCAAAATGATCATCAAATTGTAAGAATTCCAGCAATGTAAATTATATTCTGGCCGGGTAATTTGTATGAATTTTATGAGCTAAAACAAATATCTTCAATAAATAAACAAAATATACTTACCCAAATACTATCTGTCAATCAAAATACCCCACCTCCCCCCTCTTCCCACCTGCTCCCTGGGTCCCTCCCTCCCTCACCCCCACCTTCCCTCCCTACCAGAGAAATGTTTGGGTTATAACAGTATATTTACATTTTTAGTAATAAATAATACCTCAGACTAAAGTTAGGATAATATAATTGACATTGCTGGATTCCTTGCAAGACCAGGAATATTTTGAATATACACGTCATGTATTTTGCACAAAAGATAACATATTTGCTCTGAGTAAACAAAATACTTACAGTAGATCTAAAATTTGTATGTCTAATGCAAAATCTATGATGCTTATATTCAAAATGATCATCAAATTGTAAGAATTCCAGCAATGTAAATTATATTCTGGCCGGGTAATTTGTATGAATTTTATGAGCTAAATAAAAAAATTATACTTCACCCGGGTATATGAGAATTCCGGTTCTGGCAGCGTAAATGTAGAAACGCATAAAAAAAGCGGGGTATTACTGTATATCATAAAAACTGTTTTAGAAAAAAACGGCCTTTTCTTCAATCCAGAATGCGATGCCTAGCTTGAATACCAAAGCAGGAGGTGGAGAGGGAGATGACATTGCATACAAGGCTCCACTAGCTTAGGTCCAGATTATGATTATAAACCGTTTGGAATATTTTCAAATATTGGGAACATTTACCGGAAGGTAAAATGTTAATTTACATATCTCAACGAGGATACTTACTTTATTCTGATGAGGAAGAAGGTCCTGGTTGTGGAGATTGACTAGGTGGGGAAGGGGACCTCAGTACCACCACATGTGAAGCATCTTTCAGAGATAGATGAAGATAGTTGTTTTTAAAATTTTTTGAAGATCTCCAAAAGCCCACTTCTTTGATCTGACTGAGGCTCATATGCCACAGACAGGCACAGACCCTGCATATTTCCTGGTGTCATGTGCCAAAAATTTCTTACCAGGGTCTGCTTGATTCACTAACTGAGATGAATATTTTGTCATTTGACTAGGAGACAATTTCTTACCATCCTGTGATGAGAATACATAGGGGCCTCAATTAGGGATCTGGTTAACCATTCCTGAAGATTTTTAACTGGGCACAATATATGAGGAACCCTTGTCTCATCCATTAGCCATTTTATCCTAATAGGTTGAGCTTGAAAATCCTCCCTTTCATTTTTTTCTTAGGATCTCTGTAGGAAAAATGGTAACATCTTCCTCAGAAAATACCAATAATGATGGATTATTGGAAATTGAAATCAGCTCACTGATTCTCATACCTGTTGCTATTGCTAGAAGGAAGGCTGCCTTCTAGAGCAATCTGTCCCGGATCATATTTTTATTGTAATTAGGCCCCATAAGAAATTGAGTAACTTTTTCTAGAGACCAAGGTGGGATTCTCTTAGGCCAAGGGGATCTCTGAATGAAAAAGGATGATCTAAGTATTTGATAAATCCTTGGGTTCAAAGTATTATTAAAACCCCACGCCAGAGGGTCAACCAATGCTGATTTATAAGATGCAATTGTCGATCCTTGAAGGTCTTTAACTCTGAACAGAAATTCTAAAAATTCTAACACAATTGTTTCTGACAATGTCTAGAGTCGTTATCTTGATAAATTGCATAGAAGTTTGGGGTCTATGACCTGCTATTACTTGGTTAGCTATATTGGAATTAAAAAACAATCTATTTAAACTTCTTTTGAGCAACTCCAAGCGTGAAGTGCCCAGGATGTCTCGAACTGAGAATGCAGTACCTGGTCTAGACATCCTTGTTGCAATTGTAGTGGATGTGGGCACCTGTCCAACAGATCCAGGCACCAAGGTTGCAATTAAGTGGACCTTGCCTTGGAAAGATCTGAGTTTGTGAACCACTGTGGGCAACATTTTCACAGGTGGGAACAGATTGAATTCCAACGGTTCCAGTATATAAGTAGAGAGCATTTCCTAAAAGATTCGATCATTCCAGAGATGCATAAAGTGGCATCTTGTGATTTTTTAGGGAGGCAAAGAGATCTATTTTTGGAGTTCCAAACTTCCTCACTAGACTCTTGAACTATGATACCTTTAGGGACCATTCTGTTTCTGTCGGTACTGGCCTGAGACGGTATATGAGTTGCCTTGAGGTAAAGTGTTTGTGTTACACAAACTTTGAAATCTTTTTCTGACAGTTTTAGAAGGGGCCAAGATCTGGTTGAGCCTTGATGATTGAGACAAAACACTGCCGTTTTTTTTGTACATGGCAAACAAAATCGTCATATTTTTTAAATTTGGGTTTGCCAACAAAAAGAATAGGACAACTGAAAATTCTTTTATGTTTGTGTTTATCCCAAAGGGAGTTGCTCCACTTCCCTTGACTGAATTCCTCGTTTGAGGAATGGTATCCCCATTCTATTTTGGACGCGTCCGTACAAACGACCAAGTCTGTTTGAGGCGGAACCCAGGGAGAGGAACCGATTAGATTGTCCCAATTTTTCCACCAAGACAGAAGATTCTTGATCTGAATAGGGAGAGAAGAAACAAAATTTCTGTTTCTGTGAGTTAGTTGCTTCTTCCTTAACTTGCCCAAAGGAACTACTATTGTGACAAAATTCAACAGACCCAGTAGTTTTTACCAATCGTGCCAAGAAAACTTTTTCTTTGCGCAAAAGGCTTCTACCGGAAGTCAGAGGAGAGTTGATTTGTTATGACAGCTGGGCCGGAGCCAGACAACGGTTACCTAGTGGTATTTATTTATCTGTCATATAGAGAGAGTTTATGTTTTTCTCTTATAAAATGTTAATGAATTGACTTAAGAGAATATAATTAACATTGCTGGAATTCTTGTAAGAAGTGATTAATTTGAATATAAACATGCTATAGTTTGCAATAGACAAAATTTTTAGTATTCAGTACAGTGGGGTATGCTATAACGAACGGATCCTACTACGAATATTCCTATAACGAACGGTTTTACCTATAAAATTGAGAATGCTATAACGAACGAAACTCCTACAACGAACAGTATTTAATTTTTTTTTTTTTTTCTAATTTATTTATTTTATTACAAATATTAATGATATTCTTTATTTCAGGGGTTTAGATGCATATTTATGCACTTTTTTACAATTTTTACAATTTTATATTATATTTTTCAGTGTTAAGTGGTTGTATTTGGGGGCCTGGAACGGATTAATCCTATAACGAACGAATGCTATAACGAACAAGGTTCTAGAACCAATTAGATTCGTTATAGCATACCCCACTGTACTTAATTAGTACATATGACTAAAATTTTTATCTCTTGTGCAAAATATATGATGTATGCAGTAAAGTCAAATTATTCGCTGTCTAGCAAGGATTCCAGCAGTGTAATTTATATTCTGCTAACTTAAGACTGTTCCATTTTATGTCAAGTTTAGTCACTTTTATTGGCCTCCAGAACCTAACCCTATTTTCCTCATTGATTACATGTAATTATATATCGCGATTTAGTGCATAACGAACATCCTTGGACCCTATCTGGAGATATATCCCGACCCTACTGTACTATTTTGTCTGGCATTTCCACAATTTCCAGTGTAATAGTTGGTAAGTAAATATTCTATAGTTTAGGAACAATACTTGCAATATGCTTTAGAACAAAAAAAAAATTACTGTCTACTGTATAAAAGAATAAAGACTCGAAACATGAGGGGAATAATTACATTACAATGGAGAGGCTGTTTTAGGGAAAAATTGTATGGGAGTATTGTTACAAAAGTGCCTCATGTGTTATGGTTTAGAATCAACAAATATCCTAACTTTTTTTTTTTTCATAAATTGTCCTATGTATTGATGCTACATTATAAATGCAAAAGTTCACAACACTTGATATTTCAGCATATACAAGAACAACTTGTAAAGGAAAGTTATTTTGTATATTATGCAAAATAGCTTTCTTTTACAGGGAGTGTACTGTAGATTAGGAAATTTATATATTTTCCCAGGTATGAACTAAATAAATTAGTTTGAGAAAAATTATTTCTCTTGTTTACCGTGATGATTTTTTTTTTTCTTTTCAAATTATTCTTCCTTAAAATGTTAGGTTGTTTTTATTATCTTCAGGGTCTTACTGATCAAGATTGAATAGGATTTTAAGGGAATAAGCTCTTTGGAGAAAAAGGAAACAAAAATGGATATGTAGTTACATGCAATCTGTAATGCTGGGGAATGTGTACAGGCTATTCAAATGTAGACATCAGAAGTGTGCATATATATTGCCTGTCATATTAATATTACCTGTTCATTAATATGCCTCTGTTGATTCTCCTGTATCACTCCAGATTGTACATAACTTAAAAAAACCAAAACATATTCCATTGTTTGTTATATTTTTTATTTATAGATTCTTCTTGGGCTCAACCTGTATGGACTGGACCACAGTGTGACAGGAGGGTCTCATCTACTTGGCTCCCAGTACATCAACATCTTGTCTACTCACAAACCCAAATTCATTTATGATGATGAGTCAAAGGAGCATTATTTTGAGTACAAGTATGTTATTATGCTGACAGTATATGTTATCCATATTTATTTTCACTTTTGCACAGGATGGATGAAGTACACAAAGATAAGTCACAGCTGATGTGGAGTACAGTATTTTATGGGATAGGGTCATCTAGGAATCTAGCCTTCCATTTTCCCATCACTGCTTTGCTCAATTATATGAAGACTCAACATCTACTACATTTCCCAGGAGAACCATGGAAAACACAAAAAGTTTAAACAAATTACAGGTATTATACGGGAAAAACGAGACATTATTCTAAATTTCACCTTACGCAAGACTTTTCAAAGTAACATAGCATTACAATTTTCAACCAATAAAAATACAGGAGACCAAAGTACAAAACCAAAAACTGAACAAACTAAAACATACAGGAGGTATTCCCTTAAATGAGATGAGCCTTAGTGAGAAAAACAACAAATTACAGTAAGCCATGTCACAAATGGATGACTTTATTTCGTATTAATACAATGCCTCCATTATAAGGAGATCCATCTTACAGTTCCTCCCTCTAGGAACTGAGAACGGGTCGTCGTAGTTACAGACAGCTGAATGCGGTTGTTATGTGATTAAGTAGACTATTCAGAGATAATGGCCCAAGTTCTCATGGATGCGAGTTTTCAAATATCTTTGTGGTTTACCTATACAGTACTGTATATGCTGCCCTACAACTAGCACACACAATTTGATAAACAACTGAGGACTGAAAGTTTGTCGGTATTGTGTCTTTAGTTTTAAAGAATTTTTTAATCTGACTGTAGCACTGTATTTATGAAGACTGCAGAAATATAAGAAAATTCATTTACAGTGAATGTTTGTTCAATATTTAAGAATAATAATGAAATGCCAAATTACAGCTTAATTGCACAAGGGTGTAACTGGAATGTGTAAATAGTTCCAGAGTCAAAATGAATATGTGTATTTTTGTATTTTTCAAATCTTACAATAAAGGTGTAAATAAATGTGTGAATTTCTCCAGAATGCATAAAAGTGCTCTTTGGGATACTACTTCCAGTTGCAGTACCTTCACAAAAAAGCACCAGCATAGAGGATATACTGTATACCTATTTATTTAATGTGATTAATGTCTGTTCAGTTAAGTTGACAACAAAGTGAAAAACGGACTTTAAAAATTTTGTCATCCTCTTAACCGTATGTTAGTTACGAATTCATGCACAGCATATTACCGATCAAATCTGTAGGTTAGAATCCAAGTTTACCCTGGATTTAAACAGTTAATACTAATCAAGCTATTAGTGTAACCCCAAAATTGCAACTATAGCCCTTAAAGGGGATCTGAAGAGGTGAGTTACCACTGAAGGCTAAGGAGTCTCAGTGACACAGTAGCCTGCACAACCTTGCCTTCCATTGTTAATTTTAAGTCATACTGGATTTGCAGTACAGTACAAAGCATTCATCTTTCCATCTCCTCAGTTGATGACAGACTTCAGCTCTTTTCCCATTAGGAAGCATTTGGGAAGTATTATGGCTGTCCTTCATAATTTCTGCATTATGAGTGTAGTATCATCTATAAAATTTGCTTCTAATTGCAAAAGTTGTTTAAGTGAATTAATAAGCAAGTCATTTTCTGCTTATGGATAGTATTTTGTTGACTAGATAGTTGTCTGGCCTGTAGGGAAAGGCTATCCAGTTTGATTTTGAATATTAGACTTACAGGAAGCTATATTTTGAATGTTGGTTGGTGGGCTGATTGGAATTTTCCCAATGGGGTAATGCACGTGAATGTAATTTTGACTACTCATCAATTAGTTTGTGCTTTTCTAGGCTTCATAGAGGAGCAAGGGAAAATTCTCCAAGGGTTTTATTGTTTGATTAAATTGGGTTGGGGTGTTTAATGAGAACAAGGTTTTATGTTTGGATCATCTTTCAGTTGGACAAACCTTAATTGAGTTTTGCAATTTTCTTTTAGGAGTGTAAGTCTTTTCATCTCAACTGTAGATAGGTAGCAGTCTGTCAGTTAAGAAACTGGTTTCCTCCCTTCTTGTATAGCATTTTTAAATGTTAGATCATGGATATGATCATGATGATTTCAAAGTACAAGTATTTTCCTTAGTAAGGTGGCTGACTTAAACCACCTGAGTTTCGTTCAATGGGTAAACTTTCTCATAGGTGTCACATGGTGATAATCTCCACAAGAAAAGTGTCCCTGTTGTTCATTCTTATTGAGATGTACAGTCTCTTTCAAGATTCTTCGAACACTGTTGGTGACAGCTGGCAACTCAAGGCCGTTTGTTTACTATAATATGTAGTAAAAATTATGAATAAATGTAAAAGTGATCGGTGATTGGTTACTTAGTTCCCTGTTGCTTAATTTAATGATAGCGCTTTGTTGTTTCGTATTATATTATACTACGTACTATAGTAAACAAACGGCCTTGAGTTGCGAGCTGTCTCCAGCAGTGTTTAAAGAATCTTGAACGAGACTGTACCTTTTCATTAGAATTAACTTTAATTAGTGTTTTCTGTTTTAAGATATAGGTGTGAGTGTCAGTACTGTACTTACCACCTTACTCTAGTTATTGAGTTACCACCCTTGTTGGGTGTATGTTGTAGCAAGACTTAGAGCTTTATTTTTCTTGCTTGCTTTCTCTCACCTAGCTGGCATCAAATAAACGAGTCTCCTTGGATCAGCATAAGGAAATAAATGATGGAATATGAGAAATACAGTACTCATTTATAACTTAGTAAGGACAAAGAGATTCAGATTCCCTCCCTCCAATGGGTCTAGCTTGAAGTTTGGCTGACTGATTCTTGGCTCTGGAAATCCAGTGTGACTGAGGATTAACAATGGAAGGTAATATTGTACCAAGACTTATCACCTCTTGACCTGTCAGCTCTAAAATCCCCTTTTAAGGGATACAGTTGTGACAGGCATGATTTACTAATTGTTTAAATAGTACCAGCCATTACTGTCAATGGTAAGCCCGGTTTCTAACATAATATTTTAATGGTAATTATAAAGGAATATTGTCACAACTTTGTTCAAAAATTGGATTTACTGAAATAATTCATCATTTTATAAATAAAAAAAAACCGCATGTGGTTAAAAAATATATTCTACATAATTTATTTTTTATTTTTCAGAACGAAGACAGGTCGACACATGGTCTTTTATCCAACATTATATTCCATTAGTACTAGAGTGCAACTGGCATATGATTTAGGCACTGGGATATCTCTGTGGGAAATTGGACAAGGCCTTGATTACTTTTATGATCTGTTATGATAAAGTGATCTTGCATGTCCTTTATTCTACTGGTGCTAAAACCTAATTGTGCCCAAGTTGTTTAATCTTTCTCAAAATTTTTGGTACTTATTCAAAGGACTACAGTTAAACCTCGATTTAATGGACCAAATTTTGTTTGGGCACATTTGCTGTTAGCTCTGACTCAGAATAAAAGTATTCTGAATCACCACTAACAATCACGGCAAATTAATCTCTTCTATCATTGACAAATGGTGAGTAAAGTACAGTCGGCCCTGAACATACGCGGGGGTTACGTAACAGAGATACCCGTGGATGTTAAAAATCCGCATATATGTGCTGCTGCTGCGCCCCCCCCCCAAAAAAAACTTGTCCCCCCCATGTCCTTATTTACCGTATATACCTGTGTGTAGTTCAAGTTTTTAAGACCAAATTATTTGGCAAAAAATTGGGGGTCGACCTCTAAGCAGGTAATAGTTTCGTTAGGTTGAAAAATATTTACCAGTAACTGCCAGTAAACAATGGAAACGATGCACCAACGCACCACCAGCTGTGAGTGTCGGTACAGTTGCCAGGGCAGATCTCTTGCGTATGGTAACACAGGACGATGTAAAACAAAGTATTCATTTTTTAAAGTTTATTTATAGATACTGTACATAAATTTTTGTTCTTTACATTTGAAACATCAATTTTTGTTAATTAAATTTGAAACAAAAGAAAACTACGATACCGTATTTTCATTAAAATATTACATCACAAGTATATTTTACCTTAACTGTGACTGAATGAATATAGGTATTCTCAGAAATAAATATGGAAATATAATATTTTTGCTGGAATGACGTACATATTACAGTGGAAAGACGAAAACAATGACTTTTGCTTTCTTTCGTTATTCAAAAGATTTTACCGTAATCGCTTTTCGAATGGTTTTCAGTTAAAAAACTATTGTACTCGTACTGTATTACAATAATATTCTATCCTATCATTAGCCTTATAATCCCACAACTGAAAACCATTCGAAAAGCGATTACGGTAACACCTTTTGAACGAAAGAAAGAAAGAGAAAGTCATTGCTTTCGTCACAATTTTATCCCACTTTCCACTGTAATACGTACATCATTTCAGCAAAAATATTACATTCCCATGTTCTCAGAAATAAATGGTAGTTTTGTTGAAACGTAATGTACAATATTTAATATTAAAATGCAAAAATAGCTATAAAAACAATTAATACACTCGTAATGTACTGGCTGGCATCTCCACTCATCCCTGCTCCCGCGTCCAAGGTCACCACTCCTCCCAACTCGCTCCCTCCGCTCCCTCCTCTACCTCCTCTGCCTCCTCCACCCCCTCTGCCTCCTCACCGTCACTACTGCCGACAACGAACACAAATGTTTAGTGAATAACTGCACCTCCTCTTCCTATGTACAGTACTGAACTGTACTGTGCTGTGCATTTTTACAAACAATAAACATGGCAAGAAAAGCTATTAAAAAAAAAGAGATAAAAATTTCACTTTACTGACAATACCTATCCTCGGCGACAGGACGGGGGTCATCGGGCTCATCGTCACTCAATTCCATAACGGGTGGTGAAGTGGGGGCGACGGTGGATTCAGCTGCTTCCTCACTGTCACCAGTGATTGATGGTGTTAAATCTCTCCTTCGGTGATCAAAGAACATGGTGATTGGGAGTTGTCGTCTCTTTCTTTCATTTCTTCCATGATGTTTTTGTATGGAGCGAAAACGTCATCCATCCCTCGCATGAATTTCAGGGCACGCACCATGGAGGGGTCCATACTATAGGCCAGGTTTTTCAGTGCCTCAATATTCCTGGTCATCTCCCCCAACTTCTCCAACGTTATTTCTTGGTGCTCTTCCTCATCCTCTTTCCCTTTCGCTTCCTCTTCCTTGCCTGAGTCTACTAACTCCTGTAGATCCTCCTCGGTCAGCTCAGTGTCGTGCTCTTCAATTAGCTCCCTAATCTCGTCCTCTGCCATGTCCTGGAAGCCTTCAGCAGCCACTTTCCTTGACAGTGCCAGGGTCTTTCTGAATATTTTCATTAAAATCCATCAAAATCATTTTCCTTGTCATCGTCTTAAGCACCAAACAGCTCCTCCCAGTCTTCTCCTTGAACAGGGCTAGAGGGTACGTGTTTTTCGAATCGTTTTCAATTAAAAAAATGTTACATCACACGTATATTTTACCTAAACTGTGCCTGAATGAATATATTCTCAGAAATAAATAGTAGTTTTGCTGAAACGTGATGTATTTCAATGTAAAATAGGATAAAATACATGACGAAAACAAAAGACTTTACCTAACCTTCCAATGTTCAAGAGATGTTACTCGTTTTTTTAATAGTTTTCGGTTAAAATACTGTTATATTACAATGATATTATATTCATACTGTGCTTGATATACTACATTCACGGAAATGTAATATTTTTGCTGAAATGACGTACGTATTAGTGGAAAGTGGGATAAAATCGTGTCGAAAACAATGACTTTCGCTTTCTTTCGTTCAAAAGATGTTACCGTAATCGCTTTTCGAATGGTTATCAGTTAAAAAACTGTTGCATCACAAGTAAATTAGGATAAAATATTATTGGAATACAACAGTTTTTTAACTGAAAACCATTTGAAAAGCGATTACGGTAACATCTTTTGAATGAAAGAAAGCGAGTCATTGCTTTCGTCACTTTCAACTGTAATACATACGTTATTTCAGCAAAATATTACATTTCCATATTCTCAGAAATAAATAGTAGTTTTGCTGAAACGTAATGCATTTCAATGTAAATTACGATAAACTACATGAAAACAAAAGACTTTACCTAACCTTCCGATGTTCAAGATATGTTACTCGTTTTTTTAGTAGTTTTCGGTTAAAATACTCTTATATTAGTGATATTCTATTCATACTGTGCTTGATATAATACATTCACGGAAATGTAATATTTTTGCAACTACAATGCTGATGTCAACACAAGCGTGGTTACAGCGAGACTGACTGAGTGAGGGAGAGCTATGCGTGTGTGTGTGAGGTTGCGGGAGCGGGCGGTGTCCCGTGTTCGGTGCCGCGCGCGAGTTGAATGGCGCGCAATTTGAATGTACTTCAATTACAGTCAACCCTCACTTTACGCGGTCCCACATTCTGCGTTTCCACGTTTACGCGGTGCCCTGCCAGAACCCAGGATGCTCACATTCCGCGGTGTGTGTACCCCTTTACGAGGATGAAGTATAATTTTTTTATTTAGCTCATAAAATTCATACAAATTATCCGGCCAGAATATAATTTACATTGCTGGAGTTCTTACAGTTTGATGATCATTTTGAATATAAACATCATAGATTTTGCATTAGACATACAAATTTTAGATATAATGTTTACTCTGAGTAAATATGTTATCTTTTGTGCCGCCAATACCAAATTCTTCTTTATCATTATAAAACCAAGTGTTTCATTACTTTTTTCTTTTTTTTCAAATGAATACAATTAAGGACAAATTTAATGCTGGTTCAACTTATGTAATATGACTGACATTTAATGAATTTGTTGATACAGAACCACTGAGAATTTAGTAGTATAGGGCAGCAACGGCTTCCCCTCTGGCTTTTCCTCCTCTCCCACTGATGCATGATCATACAGTTCAGTAGAGAATTTATCAAACATTTTGTCTGTGATATCCAGGTCCTTAAAGCACATCATCATTACCAAACCAAATTTTTCTTTACCAAATTTCATTGAATTTGGTAATGAAATTTGGCCATGAATTAAGAATGTCTGATAGCTTGTTATATGTTGTCAAAAATATTACTTTAATTTAATGGACGTTTGGCAACAAGAGACACCCTTTCCCCCTTATTAGTCTCATAAATCAAGGTTTTACTGTACAGTATATATGCCAATGGATCTTTTCAATCATTGGCTGCAAAAGGACCTTTTCTTTATGTGAAGGGAAAGATTTACATACCCACCTGCCATGAGTAATGTGATTTCATATGGCATTTAAAGGGGATGATACATTGTATGTAGATGGATGTCATGTGGCATTACAAGATAGAAAACCCTGTTTGAAAGTAGGACAGCAGCTGGGTATTGAGAGCATTGGCAAGGTTTTATTTAGAGGTAGGATGAGATGGTTTTGGCATTTGGAGAGTATGGATGAGACCAACTAGGCAAAGAAATGAATGAGTTTGAATGTGGATGGGAAGAGAGCTAAGGGTAGGCGAAGAATGACTTTGGGAAAGGTTGTAAGAAATTACTTAAGAGATAGAACCTGATGAGAGAGGCTGCAAGAGATCATGCAGCATGGAGAGCTACCATCAAGTAATCACAGCAAACCCGTATAAGTATGGAAAATGGTGGTGAAAAAGAAATACTCTCTTGAGGTCTTTGATAATTTTATTATATCAGAAAGACAATATCATAGATACCGGTGGAATTTGCTGTAGGAAGCAAATTGTGATTAGTATTAGGCTACAAAATAATGTAAGGGATTTTGAGAGGTCTGCAATCTGGGGCTCTAGGCTAGCCCCAATAGGTCGAGGCAAATTTACCAGTAAATGTATATTTCTGGCCTCATAAAATTTAAGATTTTTTTTTCTGCAGGTGAATTGTAGTTAGAAAATTTTTGCTGGCAACCAACTGATAATAGCAATGGTGTTACAAATAATGTTGGATATTGTTAGTGATATTGTGTAAATACTTTTAGTTATTTTTCCACCATTCATATCCTTACAGAGGTAACTTGTTCATTTTTATTTCATGTTATTAATACCCTAATGAAGGTATTGGTTGTTTTTGTTGGGCCTTATAAACACTTGAAGGTTGTGGAGGACTGAAGTTAATTAATTATGATATTGATTATTGATAAGAAAAGATTTAGCATGACAATCCTTTGAATGTGAATTTTTTGTTTTACTAAATTACGTAGATTGAGGATTTTATTTGCTCCAGAGAGGTAAGCAGTTGAATGTTTTCATACTGTAAATGGCTCTTTAGTTATTATATAACTAGGGAAAACCGAACATCTTGACTATGTTGGGTTTCTTTATTCACTAACATTTTGTAAAATAATTTTCCATCAGAGCCTAGAAAACACACAAAAAAGGTTTTAAAATTACAGGTAAGATACAAGAAAAATGAAACATTATTCTAAACTTTACCTTTCATAATTTTCTAAGTAACATAACATTGCAAATTTCAACCACTAATAATGACGGGAAACCTAAATACAAAACTAAAATCAGAACAAACTAAAACATACAGGATGTATTACCTTAACTGAGATGAGCCTTAGTGAGAAAAACAACAATTCACAGTAAGCTATGTCACAAATGGATGACTTTACTTTGTACAGTATTGATAAAATGT